AATCTAGGTCTACCTCTACCCCTCCTAACTCCTGTTTCTGCCTCTAATATGTCTCTGACTAGACCTTCATGCCTGAGAAGGTGTCCTACCAACCTATCTCGCCTATTTTTGATTGACTTCCATAGAGTCCTCTGTTCTCCTATTCTTTCTAATACCTCTTCATTTCTAACCTTCACTATCTACGGTATCTTCATCATTCGCCTGTAACACCACATTTCGAACGCTTCTATACAGTACAAGAAAATTAAATACTGAACAAAGGGATATTATATTAAATGCGATCATCTTTGAAAAACAATAGATGTTATACCATCAGCTACTTTTTATAGAAATAATGAAGTAATATAATATCGGTAAATGCAATTCAAAGGTTTTGAAGTACTAGGCTCTTTTCAATTGATTTTGAGAGTTCAGTTAGCAGAACGGTATACACATGTAGCTAGTTTTGTTTAAATCTTGTACCTACATATTTATATATATAAATCCTGAAAATTAAAGTTAATTTTCAAAATCAATTGCAAATGCCAACGAAGATACAGGATAGAATTGCTTATCAACAGTTTCACTGAAAAATATCCTGTCGGGAATGAAAAATGAAACCACATCAGAGAAGTTCTATACGTTCGAATTTCTCATAAATATTTTACATTCAGATTCTCTCAATTCAACTGCTCTCGGTAAATAACGCTTCAATTTTTCCATTTGTGGTAAGCGATCCATCAAAACTGAAACATTGCAATACACAGTAAACTTACCTAACATTTGATAGAGTCCAACGTAGATGCAAGCATTAACTTTTAATCGACTATAAAGAAAATTTTATGAACGTTGGTCAGATAGAAATTTTTACAATGAAGAAAGCATTTTAGATAGATACGTGTGTCCACTATCGTAACAGCAAAAATTTTTGTGTTTACGCCATGACCAGAACGTTTCAATGCTGAAGAATAAACTGTTATTAAAGATTTTTTGGCTTTTTTTCGTTTTTCATTTTCTCCGTGTACAGTTTTAATGATAGAAATTGGTTGCTATTGTAACGAATTGAAATTTACTAAGTCCCTAAAGTCGGATGTGTTTAAACTTACAAATTCAGTAAATTGGAACAATATAGAACAAAACAAAAGAGCTGCGCTTTGTTTCTTTTGATTTTGTTTCCTTCATACTCATAATAACGCTCAGAATTTCAGATGTAGTGATAACAAGTTAATTAGTAAGTAGTAGTCAGTTTGTAGGGTTTGCATTTTATTTACGCGCAAATAAAATTTCTCAACAAGTAAGTTTAGTTCTTGAGGCGAACGTTTAACTTTTAGCGAACACTTCTTGTCATAATTTTATTTTACACTGCTAAATTTTACTTTGTAATTTATTTTCACAAAATGCCACGTTCAACATGCAGTTGTGTACAACCTGACAAAACCAAACCACTACGAGCTCACAAATCTTCAAACAAAGGCAAAATTTCACGTTTAGTTTTGTCTAAGATCTACTTTATCAATAACTAAATTATTTAATTCTCTTCTATTCGGTATAATTTTACTTACATTAATCTTGTATGTTAATCCTCACTCTTTAAATACTAATTTCTTGAAGTACATATTTATACTATCTACTTCTTATTTCTTTGCTGCGTATATTTTTTATGCATTAGTTCTTCCTTACATTTTTCCTTGCTTCGCTAGCTCCAGTCTATTCTCTCGCGCTCAGCGCCGTTGTTCATCATCTTTCCTTCAATATCAGCTAATTTTACATTCATTTCCGTCTCTGAACTTCACTGTCACCTTTAGTATTCTTTTAATTTTCTTTTTTCTTTAAGATATTTAATTTCAATATCCAATCGATCTGCTGTTTTCTTGACTAGGGTTTAAATCTTTTGGTTAATTTATAAGGGAAGATTGACTGTTTTGACTCCGTTTTCACTATTTTGTTTATAAACATTTTATGCATTTAAGCTAAATAAGGACGCTTTTAATACGTCCTTTTTTCCGCCAGTTTATTTATATTTCGATATACTAAAATAATCTACATAATTTTTAGTCAACGTACTTCATAAACCTATTTAATAAAAAAGGTCTCATCCCTGTCCCTACTGACGTAAATAGCGGTGAAAAAAAAAACAATGACGGCATATTTTTCCGAAACCCTTCACATACATAACATTCATTTCTTTCAGAATATTTCAAGTCCATATTTAAATTAGAACATAATAAAAGCGAATACAGTATGTTGCGTGTGCGAGTGACAAAGGAGTTGAAAATATTTGACGTCATTTGATACAGAGCAATATATCGTACTACCCCTTTATTTTTCAAACATATAACTATCAATTGTAACTTTCTAGGTAATAATAAATGTGAGATAAATTGCTAATTATAATGAATTCAAAAAATATATTATTTTTATAATATTGAAATTAAAATTATCTATAAAAGTTCAGCGGAAATCAATAAATTATATATATGTAGTGAGGTAAATTTGTACTGTGTAAAATTAATCGGAAAATACGTATATATAGTACAGTACTCTGTATTGTATATATATCTCCTCGATATTGGAGATACCTTGACAAGCTTTCAATATAAACAATTTGAAATTGGTCATCAATGTCATCCCCTAGGGAAGCATTGAAAGGTTAGGTTAGTGAAAACGTTTCAGTTTCATTAAATTGACAAATGGTATCTTAAGCAGTGGATGAAGGGAAGCAGCCTAAATTTCGACGAAACAAACTGTCTTCTTTTATAAATGTGTTTCCTTCACATCTTTCGTTAGAAGTAGGCCACTCTATAAATCCAAGTTTTTCATTTTCAAGACAAGTGTACAGATGAAACTCATTTCCGTTTCCGCAACTTTGAGCTGCTACTAGTTTGAAACTATTTTAATTAAATCGTCGGTTTAGTGTTAACTATAGTTTCTTGCCTAAACCATCATGATCCAGTTATACTTAATTACCAAAGTCTTTCGTACCCACTGCATTTTTCGAGCGACCTTGGACTTTAGATGACTCGAGCATACTTTACGAAGGGGCAGAAGTAGAAACTTCCTTCACCCCCTGCGCATGTCTGCCGCGTTACTCGCCCCCTCTTCTTAGTAGTAAAAGAACATGCATGGGTGCAGCCTTGATACCGTTAAAACCATCATTGTCGCCCATGTATAAGAAAACATTAATAACCAATATGATATTAAATGGGATAATTTTTATTAAAGACTATGATGCGTTTAAGAAATACACCTATTTATTTACATGTACGCAAGTATTTCAAAGTAAAATCATCTGACAATTTGTCTTCCTAATGACATTCGTTTTTATTTTTGGTACCTTTGCGCTCCTTGACCGCTGGACAATTACATTTTCCAATTGAATGTTGTCCTTACTATTCAAATCAAGGAGATTCACTACTTCAGAATTTTCTTCCACTTTGAACCAGGTTAGCGTCTCGTTATCCAAATGAGATAAATTGTACGTTTTGCTCTTCAAGAAGGACTAGTAGCCTGCTTGACTGTACTCAAAGGATTGAAATCCTTTAGTTATTGGAATTTTACATCATCCGTTCTCTCTCGGATCGTTCAAATAAGAACTATGAGTTTAAATTTAATGTACTTTACAATGTATTTTTTATAGGGTGGCAATTTCAGATTTCCTTTCATTAGGTGTAAATTTAACGTTGAAAAGCTTAAAATCGTTAAACTGGGTATAATAATAACCTTCAGATAAAGATGATATTTCTTCTAAAATGTGATCCTGAGACATATCCTGAGCACGGTTGAAGCCATTACCGGAATTACGTTCTGAAGTGATATGATGAGAGTTGCTCAGGTCGATCTTCAGGGAAATGTTTGATATTCGCAGTTTCGCAGAGCTTTTAAAGGATAACATTGTAACATACCAAATGTAAATTCGTGAATTTTATCAATCAATTCAAATATTATTAGATCCAAAGCTATAGAAATTATGATATAAACATACAATCGTGTTCTGATTTGGGTAATGTTACTAATTTTAGAAACNTTGACGAAGACGGTCAGTGCTTAAGAGGTAATTTAATAGTGTTCTGATTTGGGTAATGTTACTAATTTTAGAAACTAAAATTGTGATATTTATTGTATTATCTGCTTAATCAATTATTAGTTAACATAAGCACTTCATAAGCTGTACAAGGATATTATATTATATATTGAACTGTATTATAATACAAGTGCTTTGGTGTTTTCATTATACGTATGTTAGATTATTTCAATTTCTTACTAGAACAATTATCACTAAGTATTTTAAACATAATTAATAGTTAATCGCAAAAATTCCTATTATTTCTTTCTGGTTTCAGAGAATTAAGATCTGCTACCGCCGACGCCTTAGCAGGCAAAAGGACTCTACAAGAAAACAGCGTTGAAAAAGTGGACAAATCATTAGTATCTAGTTTCGAAATACTAAACTTAGTTCCTGAGCTTAGTTCCAAGCGCGAGGACCACGCAACAAGCAACAATAAAACCGGCGTAGGTAGGACTATATGATTAAAATATTATTCGTTCGTTTTTCCATTAACATTTACACAATTTATTAATCTTATGAACTCCCGTTGTCAATTGATTATTTTACGTCAATTAAAGTTGAAAGTCGAAAGTTTATCTTAAAAAAAAAAAAGCTCAGTAAAAGAACTTGATAGATTTCTACCTATGTATGTGTTTAAGTGAAACCCAAGAATGTTTCAATAATAAGATAATCAAAATCAATTCAATCAATTGTTTCGACCTATTCGGTAATTTTGAAGAGTACAGAAATGTAACTATGACTAAACTAAATTTTCAATATTTATACTTATGCTAGGAGAGTGGGGATTACAACATAGAGACAAGGCTAAACAACAAGGAAATTTAATATTTAGCAATTAACAGGTTTGTATTATTGGTTAGCAACTGTTTTTGATTATTAACTAGGATTTTTACTATTTTGGGAGCGTTCGTAATCACTAAATTTTCTAAACGTGTGATTTTTTTACTTTTTGGTTGTATATGTAACAGTTTAAACTTTATCATGATTATTTTCAGCGCAATGTTCCATTTTTGGTTGGTATTTTTAATGTATTTTGTAGCATAAAAAAAGTGTTATGTTAAGTTTTGTATCTAAATTTATTCTTTATTCTTTTACACTCCACGTGCTGTTAGTTATTTAATTCAAATTTCCAATACTATGTAAAATTTATCGTATTTCCTCCTAGCTCTTTTCGTATCTGTAATCCCGCACTGATTTTCCGAATTGGAACGAAATTGAATGATCGTTTCGGAGAATGAGCCACAAAAGAAGGTAGAATAGTTCGCTGATATCTAACAGGTTTGTTTAAACTGTAGCCACCTCATTTCCCGGATATTGCAGTGTTTAGCGCATTGTTTTCCCGGCATCGATCGCTTACGGGGAATAATTGGCAAGCAGATGGAGAAATCGTAGTCGAATTGGCAAAATAAATGAGCAAACTTTCTTTTCCGGACCTCTGTTTCGCCGTCGTACTTTCCTCTAACGAAGTAGCCTCCTAACAATGTTTAACGTGAAGATTGATTAATCACCCTTCCCTTCTGTCACTCCCCTTTTATTTTTCTCTTAAGAAAAAATTGCTACTGATTTTTTGTTTGGAACCGAAATAACTCTGTTAAGGAAGACAAATTAATTTATTCAGGAAAAGAGAATCCTTAAATAAAACTCAAATTGCTTAGCGGTAAAAGAATAATCTTACGTATGATGTTGGATTCTATTTATATCACCTTATATTTACCTATAATAAATTTAATTTTCTCAGAAAACCCTTCATATATATACGCCGTTGATTTGATAAATTGTCACATCCACTTTGTTGCTTTAAAATGTATCCCAACGAAGATATTGCAGGAGATATCATGATTCCTTTATGAGGACGCTGTATATTGTTCAATTTTTTTTATCAGTACCTCAACGTAGCGCTGTTTATAAGTTGTCTTCCTTGAAATATTTCCTCAGGTGGTATGCACCAGAGTAAGCAGCGATTATGTTAGATTAGCTTAATGTTAGACGTCTTAACTCCTGTTTCTGCTTCTAATATGTCTCTAACTAGCCTTTCATGCCTGGGAAGGTGTCCTGCCAACCTTTCTCGCCTATTTCTTATTGAATTCCATAGCGACCTCTGTTCTCCTACTGTTTCTAATACGTCCTCATTATACTCTTTATTCTCCTCTAACTTCACATTTTGAAAGCTTCTTACCTTTTCTTCTCTGTCGCATCCTCCTTCCACGTTTCGCACTCGTATAGCACCGTGTTCTAGACATACTTCTTTATTTACGGATTTCTAAATTAACCGTTCGCGAGCATAGAAGTGATTTCTTTTATTAAGGTATTATGAATGTTGATGATATTAACAATTTTAAATTTGGTGATTTAAATAATCTTTATGCCCTAATACGAATGAGATAGTAACATAAATTCCTGTGACCAAACATTTGAATTTGGGAATCTGACTTTCTAATCTAGAAAGTGAAGTTTTCGAAGTAGTATATTCCAGTCCATCAAACTCAATTTGGTTTCTATTTGTAAAAACACAATGAGCCTTGTGAATATAAAGAGTTAAACGAATTCGAAAATTTACTACGTACTTCCAGGGCTGTAAAAATTTTTTATGGTATTTTAAGTAAAGTAAAATGTATATTCAACAAAAACGATATAATTAAAGATTGTAATTTAATTAATTTGTAAACTTTCTTNTAGAAATTGAATATGTGTAAATAAAAATTTGTGGTCGGCTAGTACTTGAATGAATTTGCCTATTATTGCTATTATTTGCTTTTATGTGAATGATTTGCATGTCACACATTCACGTTTTCGACGTTTCTGATACACTCATATTAGCAATTGCAGGATGCAGTCACGTCTAACGCCTAGTGGTAATTAATGACATTCAACATTTGATAAATTGGCTACACAAATAACGGGTTATCAACAGAAGTGAACATACGTAGTCTAGTTAGTTAGCTGCATTAAATGTCACCAAAAAAATGCCATACATTTATTTGTCTTCTCCCTTTATATCAACACTTTACAAACAAAGCAGTTTTTCGTTAAATTGAATTGAATCAACCAAACGTTTATCAATTGCTTAAAAACACGTTTTAACAAAGGTAATAAAAATCCTATAAGATATAAGATCCTAATGAGGGATGACTCTCCCTTGTATGGTGGAAACCACAAAGATTGCGTTCAAAAAAAGGATAGAATTGTCTTTTTCAAACAATTACGTTTTTCCATAATAATAAATAATAAACGTAACGTTTCTTTATTGTATATAGCAGATATATTTTGTTACAGACAGCGTTAAACTTAAGTGGAAGAGGGTAGGGTTGATTTCGGGAAGTTCTGTTCGCCTAGATACAATTATTTGGCCAGGGGGTGACCTTTCTGTAGCCGCAGTATCAGCAAATGCCAGAAGTGTTTTCCGTATCGTTACAGCACTCTCTCCGCCCTTCGTGATGGAAAGCGAACTTGACGAAGACGGTCAGTGCTTAAGAGGTAATTTAATACTTCAATTTTTAACTCGCATTTTAATGTATAAATATTTTTGAAAAAATTAAACAAGGGAAAACAATACTAAACATTTTTTCTATAATATAATTCGTCAATGACAGACATTTTAATGTATTTTTTAATTTATCCGTTTACCAATGGGTTCAATACAATTAATGGGATCGATGAGTTATTTAATATCGTTTCTCATTTTCTTTTTTTTTTGATACTGAACATTCAAATAGATTATTGAATAGAAGTTATATGAAACTTTTTCCGTGAACTACACGAAAAGTTGCAATCCTTTTGGGATTTGAAAGATAAAACGGCATAAGAATGAACGTATCTTTTAGGAAAGATTATCGTTTAGAGAACGTTCACATTCCAAAATAGATTAACCGTATTCAATAGCATTTATCGGGTCGTTCCATACGCCACCGGCATTTGCTCCCTTTTCAGATATTTTTTTTAAGAAAATGGTCTTCCTTTAAATCTGAAACCTCCATTCCGTGATGTATCATTGGACAGACTTTTCTACTATCATTATATCTGTCATGGGGATACAATTTACTGAGGCATTTTGTGTGACTTTCAAGCTGTAAATCACTGTACACTTAATTTTAAGACTTTTTTATACGTTCGATTGCACCCCTGGGCCATTTCGAGGGTCCGGGAAGATAACAAAGACCATCAGTAATGGATTTAGCTAAAATGTTGTTCGTCTTCCAATTCTTAAGATTGCTTGAAATAGATAGCGGTAAAAATAGTTTCATGGTGAGCAATTACACCTTTTTAAATACCTAGGTACGTAATGATTAATTAATGATACAATATAAAGTTCATCATCATATAATCGTCAATCCTAAGACTGATTGGGCTTTTTTTCCTATCCTGAGCTCATCTTCGCATTTACCTAAAACTAAAGTAACCCACATCCTTAACTATTTGCAAACAGTAATCTGATTTAAATAAACCCTTACCCCTCTTAATTCCTGTTTCTGCCTCTAATATGTCTCTAACTAGACCTTCATGCCTGAGAAGGTGTCCTACCATCCTATCTCGCCTATTTTTTATTGACTTCCATAGGGTCCTCTGTCTCCTATTCTTTCTAATAGATCTTCATTTATAACCTATCTCTCTATCCACGCTATTCTTATCATTCATCTGTAACACCACATTTCGAACGCTTCTAACATTTTCTTTTCCACCGCGCCCACCGTCCATGTTTCACACCCGTACAACGCCACGCTCTAAACATACACCTTTCACAATCTTTTTCAAATTTCTAAATTAACCATTCTCAAGCTTTTTTGCTTTATATCCCTGCTACTCCTTCCATCCTGACTTACCTGACTTCTTGGATACCGAAAATCAGTCAGTTCTTCTAATTTATCGTTTCCTACCTTTATAATCCCTATTTCCCTACTTGTTCTTCCCTTGTATACCAGTATTTTCATTTTACTTTTATTATTTATTTTCTACAATACTGTTTTATAAATCGCAGTGGGCATTAAAACAAGGAAATCTTCTGGAATAAAATTCAATTCCCTTTTCGCACAAATAAGAAAGTATCTTCAAGAGACATGCATACAAGGGTATTACCTATTTCACGAGATTACTTTGAACTTTGGGTTTTGTAAATAATTCCAATGAATCGAGAAGTTTCTGTTTACAACTGAATTTTCTACTTCAGTGGTCATTGATCCTTTTGAAAAACAAAGAATTATGTTATCTGTAGATTCTTTTTGTAAGCATTTCCAATTCTCTATTTGTTTTTAAGTAAATATGATTAGCAAACAAAACATTATTATTGATTATGAAGCTTAACGTTGTAGCGATTTAATCCTGATGGACTAAATGAGAATTGTTCGTGTAATTCTCCAGTGATATCTTAATAACTGTTTCTCAATCAGAATTTGCGCCAGCTAAAAGGCAGATAAACGACGGTTAGTACCCTCGGGACTTCTGATAAATGGTAATTTGACTGCAGCAATTTTAGAACGTTGCGCTGAACCAAGGGCAAATACTAATTGTAAGATGCGAAATCCAGTTTTAACTGAGAAATCTAGATTTATTATCCTAAGAACAAAACTTACCTACTACATTTATTCTATAATGTATTTAAAGAATGAAAATGTACTCTTCTACTAGTAAATGACAAGAAAGTAAAAGATATCGTCTAAAGCCTTGAGCTACGCTAGGATAATTGGAATTTTCTTGCAACATTGTTACAATTGTAGATGGGTACTACAAGTTTTAATTAAATCTTTAGTTCTATTTGTCGCTTTCTAGTTGTACGTATTGCAGGTCTTCCGTGTCACCGCGTCCTAACACACGATAAGGACAATCTTACCCTTGTCTTCAACGAACTCGACAAGTTAGAAGAAGAGCATGAAGAAGCCAAAACGTTCGGACATTTCGGACACTTCCAGCATTTGGCGTCCAGCGAGCGCTTCCACCCGTTCTACAAGTACAAATATCGTACCAACTGTTGTTACGGTTTGTCAATGGATCTCCTGGAGAACATTGCCCACGAACTCGAATTTGATTTCCACCTTTACATCGTTGCTGACGGATTATTTGGGTCCAAGGTAGTCAGCGACAAGAAAACTCGCCGAGACGTTGGACGAAGTTTCTGGGTGAACCGATTCCAGAAAGAACAAGTGACAACGGGGGATGTTGTGAATGGTGGTAATAGGGTGGAAGTGAAATGGAATGGTATTGTAGGAGACCTTATGTCGGAGGCGGCCCATATGTCATTCGCGGCCCTAAGTGTTTCGAGTGTTCGCAGCGAAGTGATAGACTTTAGTGTGCCGTATTTTTTTGCGGGCGTGTCGTCTTTGGCGGCGCCGCAGCAAAAGTCCGAGATACCGTTAATGGCCTTCCTTTTGCCGTTTTCCACGGAACTGTGGATAGCAATTTTCACAAGTCTGAACATAACAGCTATCGCCGTGGCCATCTACGAATGGCTCTCGCCGTTCGGATTGAACCCTTGGGGGCGGCAACGGTCGAAAAATTTCAGTATGAGCTCGGCGCTTTGGGTTATGTGGGGACTGTTGTGCGGACATTTGGTCGCGTTCAAGGCACCGAAGAGCTGGCCTAATAAATTCTTAATCAACGTTTGGGGCGGGTTCTCTGTTATTTTTGTTGCCAGCTACACCGCCAACATTGCCGCACTTATTGCTGGACTTTTCTTTCGAAATACAGGCAACTACTACGACCGAACGGTAAGTAACTATAGGTATACAGGGTCAATAGGGACTTTTCTTTATACTCTTAATGCTAGCGGGAATTACCGATTAGAAGCTGGCTTGTACCAGTAAATTGTTATAACAGGATATCACACTTAAAAACGTTGAATTATCCAGACTGTTGCTTCCAAGTGGTTGTAACCCTAGACAAAAATTTTCAGTCTCTCTGTAGTCTCTCAGCCTTTCAGAGTCTTTCAGCATCTCTGAGAGCGTCTCTAACAATCTTTCACAGTCTCTCAGTTATTGCCTAGGTGTTTTTATGGATCTCTCACAGTCTTTGTATGAGAGACTGGAACGTTAAAATTGTTAATTGAGAGATTCGAGTCTCTCACAGAGAGACTGAAAGAATATAACTGAAAAATTGAGAGACTCAAGTCTCTCGTAGAAAGACTGGGATCTCTGAAATATGTTGAACTTAGAAAATTTTAACCATGTCTATCGAGACACCACTTATTGAGAGATTCGAGTCTCTCGTTCAGAGACTAGATACGAAATGAGAATCTCTTTATGAGCGACTCGAGTTTCTCGTTCAGAGACGCTAAACAGTTTTTTTGACAGTCTCTTTCAGCGACACCAGAGAGACTCGATACGAGACGGAGACTTGAACGATGTCTATCGAGACACCACTTATTGAGAGATTCGCGTCTCTCGTTCAGATATTCGAGTCTCTCGTTCAGAGATTCGAGTCTCTCGTTCAGAGACTGGATACGAAATGAGGATCTCTATGAGTGACTCGAGTCTCTCGTTCAGAGACGCTAAACAGTTTTTTTTTTTGACAATCTCTCAGCCACACTAGGGAGATTCGATGAGAGACGGAGATTCGAGTCTCGCTTTCAGAGACTCTTAGAGATTGAACATGTTTATTTCTGGGAATAAAAAAAGTTTTCTCTTTAAAGCTTATCTGAGAATTTTGACGTACACATTTACAAAGTATGCAAATTTTGCTTATCCATTTTCGTACAGTACAGTTGTTTTAACTGTCCCAGGAAAAAGCTGCTGTGCTTTCATTTTCACCGAAACAGCGCAAAATCGGAGGGTATTGAGTAAAAAATTAATCTAGTAAAAAGACAGATTATAAAGAATGCATCATTATTTATAATCTTGATGATATACTATTATAAAACCGAGATTGATAGTGTCAAGGAGCTTAAATGTGAATTGGCTGTAAAATTAATATTAGTGAGTTAGTTGCCCTACGTCATTTACAATTTTACATGTAATAAATCAGTCGCTTTCATTAATTTACTTAGTATTACATTTTCGCATTATGTGGAATCATAATAAAGATGCTACCCCAATTTGCAATAGCCTTTAGTTAAAGTGTAAAATTTTGGGTAATACGTGTCTAAAGTTTGACGACAATTTTAGTTGTTTCAGTTTACTAATTCTCTTTCCGACACTAATTGCTATCCAAATATTCGATCCCCTATTTTGTTAAATTATTTTTCTAATAGAGACTGTAGACACTATTTAGTGTTTCTTGATACGCATGACATTTTGTTACAACAACACATTCTTCTGTTTTTAGTTATACGTAAATAAATAATTAATTTTTGATATTTAAATGAATTATTTTGAAGGTTGACAAAGCATTTTATTTATTTTATGTACTATTACAAACGAAACTAAAAAATAAATAAAATAATAAAAGAGTAACTGTTTCAACAAGGGGTTTAATAAACACTCGACAATTGTTTCGACTGAAAAGTCATTATCAATAGTACAGACAATGAAGCTAGAGAAACTTGAAAAAGGAAAAGAGGTTCGGCTTTAGTTTTTAAGTTTTTAAATCGGATATCAACGATTCACGGCTTATACGACGCCACCAACGACATATTGAAATAAACTGACAAAGTGCTTTTTCGATTTTTACATACAATATTCTTGCTTCAAGTACGATATGAACCCGGATGAACCAATTGACTACTTGACATACTTTCTGTTAGAAGGTAGCGTCAATATGTTCTCTTACAAAGTATATCTTTTGTCGAACTCTACTTTTTAATTCTAAGGTTTAGGCCCTTCGAAACACCCACAAAGTAACTCATCTGATACCAGAATATTAAAGAATTTACCTACCTACAAAGAAAAGATAACATTTAAGAATACTCAGTATTACCACACAAGATATTTTATCAACTTTTTATCACTGTCAGGGAAATCCAAGGAAAACATTAATTCCCGATAGTGATATTAAGTTTCTCTAACTACTTTCGCAAAAGTGAATTTAAGGCCATTAGAGGTGAGGGGGGTAAGAAAGTATGACGCAGTAGCAACCAGTTACAATGGGCAGAGCACATGTGACGAAAAAATGGTTAAAATATCTTACCTAAAGTATTTCATAAGTTAACTTCATTCGGTCCAGTAAGTTATTTAACAAACAACTAGATATAAGTAATTCATCCCCAATCCCCACTCTAACACACATTTCCCCCTGACTAAACCTTCATGTCTGAGAAGGTGTCCTTCTAACCTATCTCGCCTATTTATTATTGACTTCTATAGAGTCCTCTGTTCTCTTACTCTTTCTAATACCTCTTTATTTCTAACCTTCTCTATCCAGGGTATCCTCATCATTCGCCTATAACACCAAATTTCGAAAGCTTCTAACCTTTTCTTTTCCGCCGCGCCCACTGTCCATGTTTCGCACCCTTACAGCGCCGTGCTCCAAACATACACCTAAAAAATATCTACACAACTAAATTTCGGTAATTCATCCCCGCTAACACACATTTCCATCCCCCACATACAACGTCTTTGGTTGTTGATTTATCGAGACTGGTTACAGCGTGCTGATGAGATCTAAATCGTGATCCACGTCTAGTTTCGACAGAAAGTAGATCGTTTATAAGTAAATATAATGTAATGTTGTTCAGATCTCAATGTTGGTGTTAATTATGAATTTAATTTTCCCCAATATTTTCTCCCTTTTACGTAATTGGAAAAGTATTTTTCAATGGTACGGTTTCTATTGACATAATTTGTCTTGAAAGCTAGCTGAGTAGAGCGCAATCGACGCAACTTTGCGCCGGTAAGCAAAATCCTAATATTCAATTTACTGAAGCATTTTCGAATTATGAATTTTCTCCATCGCATCGTAAAATTATACACGTGTACACAGCTTACAGCTTTTACCAATATAAGTATAAGCACTCCAAAATTAGTATCGCGATAGAAGGGGTGCAATTGAACTAAACTGAATTAAAACTTCGCGTCGAAGATCAACGGCCAAAGCTCCAACAAAGTTTGGGAGAAAACTGAAGTGCGGGTAAATCAAGTAAAGCAAAATCAACAAACAAGCATTGCTTCTACGTAATTCTGAATTAATTAATTGTATTTCAAAATTCAATTACACTTAATTACCTGCCATAACGACCTAATACTCAAATAAGGCAGTTTAATAATCTTTAATAAGGAGTCGGCCAAAAATTACGTCTCCGTTTTGGACCCCCTCCTTCCACTTCTTTCTCTTTTCGTCACGCTAAGCGACCCCCCGCAAATATTGCGCCACAGAAGCTAGTCTACCTTCAGCCTACAAAAGATTCCTTGTGAGTAATAAGTAATTTTAATAATTGCCAAATTAAGATAAACATTAAAACACAATTGATGAACTGCTAACGTCGCATTTTCTTAGACCACCTCTCACCCTTTTATATGTCGTCACGGAAAACAATACCCCTGTGCTAATCCTCCACTATTAACAATTTCATCTGGGATTGTCCTAGTGACTCTGCCTTACATGTCCTTTACTATTAGCGTATTAATAATTAATCAGTTCATCAAAGTTCAAGAACGCTAATCCAAATTAGATCAGTATTTTTTATGATGATATGGATATACAAAAAACTTCAATCACTTATTCATTATCATTCCACTTGTACATTTTTGGCAAAGTACAGCCATGCCAAGTTTACAATTTTTATTAACTTTATTAGCGATATATAATATAATAGCTGTAAATTCAAGTAAGTATCCTCTAACTATATAATTATCATTAGGTTTACTACAAGCAAATTAGTAATAATTGCTGTAATTATCGCTGAAGCTGTTATATACGGATCTTTGATGTTAAATTAGTAATGAGACAGGTAATTAAGTTAATTCAATGAACTTAGTCTGCAAAGTTATCAGGGCCTCTTTGACCTTTCCAGTAAACGAATTGTCTCCTATCTAAACTGAAAATCGGCGTAATGTTTCGTTATACTCCATAATCTACATATATATAGATTCTCGTTTTTTTACCGCTTTTCATAAAATAAAAAAGTATTTGACGATGTGCGAAGAACAAAATATTTAAAAGCTCTCTAGAATCATAGAATCGTTTGCGAGCTTTAATTTTGTTAGAAGGGTAGAAGGAGGAAAACAAAAAGTTCGACTTTAGAAAACATGTGCTACATAAGAGAATTTAACCTTCATTAAACCGAACAACCTTTTTAATGCTTGAGTTACCTCGGAAAATGGTGCGAGAAAATTTAGGAGCTTTCTTTTTGTTTCGGTCCTTTCACCAAGTTTACCATCCAATATCACACAGAAAAATGGGTATGAACAACGTTAATAGAGATAAGTTATAACAAGAAAATGTAATTCTTATCGATTGTAAAATTATTTATCACAATAAGAAAATTTTACGATTTGAAATGCCACAACAGCCAAATATAATATCTTTAAAGAATTTAGATTTAGAAATATTAGTCAGAAGGGTCCACACTGAGTATACCATCAAGAACACTTTCATATTCTTTACTTAATCATCATCATAAGGCCGTCAGTCCTAAGACTAGTTGGACACGTACCTCCACACTTTCCTATCCAGAGCTAAACTTCGCATTTCCCTAAAACTAGAACAGCCCACATTCTTAACTATTTGCGAACAGTCATCTTACCTAGATCTACCTCTACTACCCCTCTTGATTCCCGTTTCTGCCTCTAATATGTCTCTGACTATACCTTCATGCCTGAGAAGGTGTCCTACCTACTTCCCAAGCCAATGACATTAAATCTACGAAAAGGGTAGAAATCGATTTTCATCAACATACGTTTTCTATTTAGCAGCACGTTTATGTACAAATTGTGAGTACATAAAACAAATTCCATAGACAATATTGTGCACGTATTACGCCTTGACAATTACATTAATTTTCAGTTCCTGAACCAAAGGGTGGGAGCACCCCGAGCGTCAGCTGCAGAATATTACGTACAAAAGGCGGATCCGATGTTGTGGGAACATATGTTGAAATTTGGTTTAAAGAGCATCGAAGAAGGCATCGAAAGGCTTAGGAACGGAACGTTGGACATTGTGATAGCTGACACTCCCATCCTCGATTATTACAGGGCTACCGACCATTTGTGCAAATTGCAAAAGATAGGGACCGTTATCAACGAAGACACTTACGCCGTAGGAATGACAAAGGGCTTTCCATTAAGGGTAATTGTTGAGACTAATTAGCTGGTGCTTCCTTTGTGCTCAGGCGAGTCTTGGACTAGAAATTCCTTTCGTAAGATATTCATTATTCAATATTCATTTCAGTCCAGTATCTATGTAATCCGATCCATCGAAGATATAGAGCATAGTACCTTTTTGGATTAGGCAATTATTAAATTATTATTAGTAGACATTACAAAAACGAAATTACAGCCCATTTCAATTTGTTAGAATTGTGCCCTTGAAGAAATCTGCGCGAAGATAGAGAGAATACACACTAGGCGTGAGCAAGACAGAAATAGTTGGAACAAGTTTGAACGAGCAGAGCTCTCGATCGGCAGTCTTAGGAGATCGGCTAGAACTGTACAGTACTAGACGAAAATGTTTAGCAATTTCTTAAAACAAAAATGTATTTAAATTAACAATAGAAAACCAAGCAAAAGTTTTATAGGTGTGTAGAACGTTAAGTTAATTCACTTTTTATTATTTTTGGCTAAATATGCTTTTAAATAATGAATATTCTTAATTTTTAACGAGGCATTTTAAATAATTTTGCAAATGGTACTGTACACTTTTGTCTAGTTCTCGCTCGATGATCGGTGAAGAAATAAGCTCCACAGACAAATGTGATTGAATTTGGAATTAAGCTACGGTGCATCCTAATAAAGGGAAGGGGCATATCTCTAACTTCTTGAAACGAAC